GTGTGGGGACAGGACGGTGCCCTGGGGGACACCGGCCTCCATGGGACGGGTGGTGGAAAGGGAATCTTGGATTTGGATGCGGAATTTTCGGTGGTGTAGGTAGGATTTTATGAGTTTGGTAAAGGATATGGGATATTGGTTGGTGAGCATTTTCATCAGTAGGCCTTCATGCCAAACCGTATCGAAGGCCTTTGCGACGTCCAGGAAGACAGCACCAGTGTACTGTCCCCTGTTGAAGGCCGCCGTGATGTGCTCGGTAAGGCGAAGGATTTGGAGTTCAGTGGAGTGATTGGGTCGGAAGGCGAACTGCTCGTCTGGAATGACTTGCAGTTCTTGGGAGTGGGTTCTTAGACGGGTTAGGATAATTTTTTCTACCACTTTGCTCATAGCCGGGAGCAGGCTAATGGGCCGGTAGTTGGATGGGATGGGCTAGCCATAGAATAATGGCGCGCTATCCAGAAACTCCAGAAAGGTTGAGATCTATAGCCACAGGAAAATCAACGCTTAAAACGCCAAAAATAACGGCGCAGGAATACCAAAATGTGTAAAAAAAAAACAGGTTTAATAAGATCACATATTGATTACGGATGTTAAGCAATTAGTCCACTAAATAAAAATAAATATCTACATACATTTTAGTAATCATATATAACAATAATACTAGTGTCTCAGAGAACGTTGTCCAACATCAGATAGTCGAGTCGATATTAATTCAGATCAGACAATGCTAAATTACAGAAAATTACTTACGATTTCTAATTATGCAATATATTTTTTGCATATTATATTATTGTAATTTCTTAATGAATTTTTATCATATCGCCGCCAATGGCCGGTTTGGTATTATTCTAAACGCTCCAGGTGTGTTTTGTTCTTTTCTAATTGTAAGAGATGAAGAGACAAAAAGATATTCTAGAACATCTAGACTCTGATCTAGATGAGATGTCAATACCGAACTCGAACTTGCCAGAGAGGATGGATTTTATTCTAGATGTGTGCTCTAAATAACAAAATAAACACTGAATTGACAGTCGGCGAAGCAATATAAAACTTGTATTATTATAAAAACACACTGGTGTTTTAAATCCAAGTATTAAGTTATAAATTTTGCCGAATATAAAATATTTAATCGGCCATAAAATTTCCTTATATTTTTAATTATTTTGTACGTAGTATTGTCAATAGAACTTTTATCTACCATTCGTTGAAATTTTCATACACATTAATCTTATTTTTGTTACAGATAAGATAGATAAACATACTGACTGATATAAGTAATTATAAAAACAATTCTTAGAACAATTCAAATAACAGGCTTGTTTTAGTTTTGTCAGCGGACAGTCCTAGAATAGTTACCCATACCCATAATATGAGTATTTATTTACTCATATGTAGTTACCCAACAGTATTGTATGATGTCTTGAATGGATATTCTTATGAATTAAATGGTTAACTAATTTGAGCCGTACCGGTCGCGCCACGCGCGCGCGCGCCATTATTCCATGGCTAGAAATTGGCCTCAATGATTTGGGATCGAGGGGGATTATCCCTCTTTATCCTGCTTCATCTCGTGTAGGCACCTATAGAGGATAAACTAATTGTCCTAGAACCGTAGAACCGTTCTGTTTCGGAACAATTATGTTGTACCTGCGTACTGTGTTGTGTGTACATAAATCCGTGTTGTACCTGTTAGCCTGTTCTATTCTATATAATCTAATCTAATCTAAGCTGACTTAAGCTGCATTGAGTTTGAGTGCATTGCGTTGTGGGTTGTGGTTCATTGTGGTCTGATTTAACATAACCTAAAAAGTTTGCATGAAAATGGAACAATTTTTTTGTTCTAGTGTTTGATTTATATAACTTTATTAATGTAAACAAATGTATGTTAAAACTTATAAATGCGAGTAATTATAAATCTTTTTTTTTTGTAGGTACAATAAACTAGTGACATGGCTGAGAGAAATCTTGATTTCGTTTTCACTAGTGCAATAGACAGTTTTTCAAAGCACCTCCACAAAGAGTTGAAGAAACAAGATAGCAATGATTTATTTTCACCTATCAACATCCATGCATTTCTGACTCTTCTTTCTCAGGATCCTTGGTTTTACAGTAAAGATAGTTTCAATAGATTCTTATACCTCGATGTTAAAACAGCATCTACACTTTACAAAGATATTTTCGATGTTTTTAACAGTATTAATAATCTTCTGATTGCTAACAATTCTTTGTTGAAACCAAGCCAAGTTCCAGAAGCTTTTAGAAATCGTCTCAGGGATAACTTTGCTAGTGAAATAAACCTATTGGATTTCACTAAATTAGAAGATACTACCACAGCAATTAACACATGGGTCCATGATAGGACTCTTCAGAAAATTACACCATTTAGTGGTTTAAGGGACGACGTGAATTTTACATTTTTAAGTGCGACAGGCTTTAAAAGTGACTGGACGGAACCATTCTCCGTGGATGAGACAGTTTCTGCAACTTTTTATTTGAACGAGCAAGATACGGTGCCAGTTCAAATGATGAGAAAAAAAGGTGAATTTTATTTTGAGCATCATTTAGGTCTGGAAGCTAAAATTTTAAAATTACCGTTTGCCGGCAACAAAGTAAACCTTGTGTTGTTTTACCAAGAAAAGAAATAAATATTAATGAATTTGTTCAATTTTCAACAAATTTTTTAAATTTATCGCATCTTTCAAAGAACATGACTAAACAGGAGGTAGATGTCTCCCTTCCAAAATTTAAAATGGAAGAAACTGTGGAGCTGGCACAATACTTAAAGAAGGTAAGATAAAAGCACTGTTGTACTGTACGATTCAAATTTATAAGATGCACATTTAATTTCTAAATGATTGCACAATTAAAAAAAATTGCCCTTTACAATGGTTACTCTGGTACAAAATCATATTTTTATTGCGAATAATTTTATTTCTGAAACAACTATATGAGGCAATTGCTTATACAGCTATGAAAAATGTTTGTTATATTTGTTATACTGGTTGAGTCATAACTAACGATAAACAATTTGACTTAAGCTTTTTCTGTTCAAAATGGAGTAATGTTGTAGCTTGCGGGCAAAACTTAAAAAGTCCACTGTAACTGATTTGCGAGAAATTATAAAATAATTTATATTAAACAGAAAAAATTCTATAGAAATGATACATTTTCCACAGTAAGCATATGGAATGAAATCAATTTATCACCAAAATATTATCAACATTATAATCTTGTTTTGGGTTTTATCTTAAAAAAAATGATTTACACGTGAACTTTTGATAAGAAACTCTGGACTTGTTAATTTTTGCGCGCAAGCTATAGAATTAGTCAAATATATATATCAGTCTCAAAATACTTCCATAAAAAGTCACAGGCCTTTAAATAAAATTTGATTTATGAAACCTCTGTCACTTTTTTGGTTATTCCAATAAAACTTGGTATATAATTGTACGGCAATTTTTAATACAAAATGATTTTTGGCTTTTGCTTTATTTTAATTTTTTTCAAATTTTTTGCATGATCCAAAAAAACAAATAGCAGTGTTCGACTTTTTAAAAATTCTTATGATGCATATACTTTTTGCCTGATACTGATACATGTTAAATATTTAAGGGGATATAAATTAATATTAGCTTTTATTTCATTTTTCGATATTTTATATAAGATGGGGTTGGAAGAAGTGTTCAACGCCAACCTCAGTGGTGTGATTAATGATGAGGAACTCACTTGCGATGAAATCAAACAGAAAGCTTATTTAGAAATAAAGGAAAAAGGTTCGGAAGCTTCCTCAGGTGAATAAACATTTGTCTTAACGTTAAAGTATTATTTAAAAAATATTCAAATTATTTTTAGCAACTGTGTCAACTTTAATCAAAGCCCAGGAAGAGAAGGTAATATTAAGTCATATCAGCAAGTGACGACGTAAAATAATTTTTAATACATTTTCAGTTGCCTCCCAAAGATGGGTTACTAATCTACGAAGCAAATATATCATCGGAAATTACCAACCGTTTTGCCAAGACCAAGGTGGTGTGGAGGGTGAAGAATACCAACAAGACGGCTGCTGATGCTGACTTTAAAGTTATCTTAACCGATACGGCTTTCATCACGGAATTTATCATGGAAATTGAAGGCAAAAGTTACAAATCGTACATAAAAGAAAAAGAGGAGGCAAAGAATATTTATAATGAAGTAAGTATCCGTTTAGCTTCGTACTTTCTTTTTAACAGGAAAAATTGCAGGCAGTGGCACAAGGGCAAAGTGCGGGGCTCGTCGAAGCAAAGACAAGAGATTCGAGGGAATTTACAGTGTCGGTAAATCTGGAGCCTGATTCGGTGGGGGTATTTTCTTTAACCTACGAAGAAATGCTTCAGCGGGTCCACAATCAATATGAACTGGTGTTGAATATTTGCCCGGGGCAAATTGTGGATGACTTAAATATTGAGGTACCAAACTAAATAATTCAAGTTATCTTTTATTTGTACGTAATCAGGAATGCATTTCCTAGGTCCGCATTAATGAGAGTCGACCTCTAAAATTTGTAAAAACGCCACCTTTGAGATCAGGAAACGACATGAATACGTCGGAATTCGTTCAATACCTTGACCCTTTGTCGGATGTTAAAGTAATAAATCCAAAAACCGCTACTATCAAGTTTCATCCTAATACCACGAGGCAAAGAAAAATGACTCATTATCTGGGAAATAAAACAAGCGATGGCTTGTCGGGTCAGTTTGTCGTGCAGTACGACGTAGAAAGAGAACCCCTCAACGGAGAAGTATGATCGAAATCTGTGCCTTAATTCGAAAATTTTGTGGTTTCTTTCAGGTGTTGCTACAAGATGGCTATTTTGTTCACTTCTTTGCCCCGAACGACCTAGACCCGTTACCGAAGCACCTCGTTTTCGTGTTGGACACCAGCACGAGTATGAGGGGAAGGAAAATTGATCAGCTGAAAGACGCTATTATGAATATTTTGGGCGATTTACATAAAGAAGACATGCTGAGTATTATCGAGTTTAACACTGACGTTATTGTGTGGGATGTTGACTCAAAAGAATCAACCACTGTGCCTGCGGGTAATATAAAGGATTTCAAGGAGCCTTTTGCCTATTTACAAGTAAGTGCCTTGTTAGCATTTAATGTGTTGACTTTTCTATTTTCATAAATGATATTGTCATTTTAAGACCTAATTTCACATTCCTAATTTTTGCAAACGATTTAAAAATTCTTTCAATAATTTATTGAATTGATCTAGATGGTGCTCAGCTAATACAAAATTACAAGGACTGTGAATTAATTTAGGGGGATGTTTTAGTATATTCAAAGCTTTATCATAAAAAATCGTGTGCGTTATTATTTTTCAAAGTATAATCCATAGCTAACCACTATTTTTTTTTCCATCTTTTTGGCAGCATACGAATTCCTCGTCAAAAGAACAACTCATCTTTTGATGCTATCCCTCAATCGATCCAATTATTAATGTTGAAAAATTACTTTATCATGCCTTTGTACGAATTGCAGCAGTTTTTCATTTAATGCGCGGCTCAAACGCATCAATTGTGTTCGGTACCGTTCGCTAGTGATTGTTTCATTTGGCAATTCGTAGTGCACAACACCAAGCTGGTCCCACCAAATACGGAGCGTAAGCTTTGAATCATGAACTTGTGGCTTTGCCATCGATGTTGATACATGATCAGACCAGGCAACCCCCAGGACTTCCTATGCTTAGAATTATCATAGTGTATCCATTTTTCGTCAATGCAAAAAACTAGTGGTGGGAAATGTCCGGACATTTTAGAATTGGACAAATGTCCAGACAACTGTCTGGACATAGAAAATAAAATGTAACAGATTTACTATACAACACATGTCATAAACTTCAAGATGATACCAAATATTTATATTTCCTTAGAATATTTTCTCTGAATTACAAGAATTAAGTGAAAAATGAATATTTTCATAATAATTTTCAATTTTCGTCTACTATTTACCAGCTTATGGTTAACATAGTAAAAAGTTAATAGTATTTATTATGAAATTATGATTTAATTTGAAGAAGTTTAAATTTCTATTGTGTATCTACATATGAACTGAAATGAAATGAAATAAATAAATTATAGAAAAAAAGAACGGTGAATAAAATAAATTTTTATTTGGAGTAACAAGTACAACATATAACATATATGTATATTTATTTATTTATTTATTACTTATACCTACTCAACGTGATGAGCCCACTTACAGAGCAGGGAAAAATTACAGAAGAATGTTAACACAATAAATACATATACTATAAAGACAAGAAATCACAGAGTAGATTACAAACAATATTTCACAAACAGAAACACTGAAGAGAACATCAAAATAATTCTTTAATAGTAGAGATAGTAGTGTTAAAGACGTCTATACTGTCCTGCACAGCTGTAAAATTTCTACACATAACATATAAAGGAGAATATTGTAGTATATTAGTACTAGCTGTTTTCAAATAAAAAGTTTCATTAGACCGTGTGCTTACAGAAGGAACATTAAAGTTAAGTTTTTGTAAAATTTCGGGTATATCCAAATTTTGTTCATAGTTTATCTTAATGACTTAATTAGTATAATTGTAAAAAATTGTTATATAACAAATTATGCAGATGATACAAATTTAATTATTATAGGTAGAAATTATCCGGAAGTAACTGATTTAAGTAATACCTTATTGCTTAATGCAAAGCAATGGTTCTCAAAAAATGGTCTTTTATTAAATGTGGAGAAAACAAATATTATTTTATTTAGAACTTGACAAAGTAATATGGAAACTCCAGATAAATTACAAATGCAAGATGGTCACTTGAAATACAATACCCATACAAAATTCTTAGGTGTATATATTAGTGAATATTTGGAAAGAGAATTAACAGATGCATCTACTGGCATTATAAAACACAGGATGTTCTATTTAAAATAAGCGAGTTATTAAACTTTCAATTTGACACAATTGGTCCGTGTTTTTTAGACGCCCTGTGTAACATGCACCAACTTTCGAATATTCCAGATATTTGGACATGTTTTGGTATTGACCATCTAAAATTTCAGCTTCCTATCTTAAAAATTGGAGGAAATAGAACCGATTAAGTGTAGGTATGTTTTTTTCAAAAATTTTGAAAAACTCAAAATATTTCAAAAACTATCGAGTTTAAGGATAAAGTAAGGTTATGAAACTTACTTTAAAATCTGATGTAGAATCCAAAAATTAAATAACAAATAGTACATTCCATTTGAAATAAGCGAGTTGATGTCTACTTCCGGTAGAACCGGAAGTTCCACGGCGACGCCAATATTTTCAATCGATAGAACATTAGGAGAATCCCCCGTACATAAATTTTCAGAATTCCAGTACGCGTAGTTTTCCAGAAACGTCTAATTGAAGGTCTATCTGGAACACCCTGTATATGTCGCTGTGGCACAATAATCAAAATGAGGCTGAATTATATCCACTATTGTAACAAATAATTCTACTAAACATTAATAGTTTAAGTATTTGCTATGCAAGAGAAAAAATACAACTTCTTCGAGATTTTTTTGATTATATATTCTGCATGATTATTAAAAGATAAGCTGTTATCTATAATGAATCTTAAATATTAAGTGCATCCACAATTTCTATATTTTCACCTTCCATTTTTGTGACTTGATCAACATTTACATGGTTATGCTTATAACTAGTTGTTAAAACCTTAGCTTTTATTTTTTTAATTTTATTTATTTCCAGATAATTTTCAATTTTATCCAAAACTGTATTTATTGCTTGATTTAAATTTTGATGCAATACATATGTTAAGGTGTCATCGGCATATCGTTATTTTGTACCACATAATAAATATCGTTAAAATAAAATATAAAAAGAAGTGGTCCCAAAACACTGCTTTGAGGCACCCCAAATTCGTTGATTATTGCATTTGAAATGGATGAACCAATTCTAGTTACTTGGTTTCTTCTACTTAAGAATCATCAAACCCTTTGAAAACAGTACGAGTCATACCATAACACTGCGATTTTCTCAAAAGAACTTTTCTATCTATAGCCCCAAAGGCCCTTTTCAAATCCAAAAAAAACTGTTACGATGTACTTATTTTCATCTAGTAACATTTTCCCATTTGTTAATGTATACTGTAAAGCGGTTTCTCAGGAGTGATGTTTTCTAAAACCTGATTGATTACCTATAAATAAATTATTTTCATTACAATATTCCATTACTTGATCGTATACAGCCAGTTCTAACACTTTTTCCAAAGTTGGTAATGTATTGACAGGACGAAAATGAAATGCCTCTATAGTGTTTTGAATTTTAGGAATATTTCCCCCTGAATATCTTTATTTTCTAAACAAAAGATTATATTTCTCAGCTGAGTATAACTTACTTTTTAAAAAGTATTAAAAGAGCAATTTAGTTTAAAATAATTTTGTGATGACCACAATTTATCGCTATTCATATTATTTGCTGTCACACCTATACTTTTTACAAAAAATTCGTTGAGATGTCTGCTATTTGACTTTGTTTTTTTCATGTAAGGAAAATAGAACTCTAGATTCTGTATAATTTTTAATTTTCAGTAGAAGTATAAGAAGTTAAAATCGACATTTTCTTGAAAACCTTTGCAGATATCGTAATGAAAAAAGTATATCTTTTTTACATAGAAATGATCAAGGATTTCGATTTTCAAAAAAAGAATATGGAAGTTGACAAATAAAAAAAGCTACAGATTTTGAACCTTGGCTAGGAACGCCCCTGAAAACAATGTGTCAGTTTGGTTCCTCGTAATAAATGGTGCCTCTGTATAAAATTTCATCAATTTATTTCGAGGCATTTTCGAGATATTGTAATAACATTGTGTCTTAATGGCCCCCTTTAAAGGGGTGTAGCACCACAAGGGGCGTTTTCAGACACGTGGATATGAACTTTTTTGCTCAAAATTGCTTTCTCTATCATCTGTGTTCATTTGGCAACACCTTTTTGAAACACCCTGTACATTTGCTTTATCAATTTGTGTAGTGGGATTTAAATAAATAAATATATAAATTCCGATTTCAGCAATGTATATCGTCAGATCCACACCTTGTTAGTGAGGATATTATAAAAAAAGCAAAAGAGGTCGTTCAGGGTATTATGGCTATTGGATGTACCTTCATGATTGGCGGTTTAGAAACGGCTTTGTATTTAGTAAAAACGGGACAACAGAAAAACAAGGACAAGGATCAGAAGCTTCAACCCATCATAGTATTTCTGACCGACGGTGAGCCCAACGTTGGCATCCCCTCAACAGACCAAATCGTTGAACTAGTAAGTCACTTTGATTTATATTCGACGGCAAATTAATGTCACTTGTCAAATTCGTAGGTGACTCATCTGAACACGAAAGACAAGGTTCCTATATTTTCCCTGTCTTTTGGAGATGGTGCAGACAAAGACTTTCTGAGGAAGCTGTCTTCAAAGAACCTGGGTTTCTCGAGGCACATATACGAAGCCGCCGACGCCTCTTTGCAGCTGCAGGACTTCTACAAGCAGATTTCTTCCCCGCTCTTGCACGACATCAAGTTCAAGTATGACGCGGAAGTGGCAGAAGTCACTAGGACCTGGTTCCCCATTTACTTTAGGGGCTCCGAGTTGGTCGTTGCCGGAAGATGTGCAGGTACGTACGATTTAATAATGTTGGAGAGTTTTATCACAATATATTACACCGGTTAAATCATTTATATATAAAATAAATGTTTAATCCCCTTTTGTACATGTAACATTCGTATTTCATAGCTTTGCTGTCCTCGATATTAACAATAAAGTGCTCCTGATTTTTAGAACAAATATTCCCGACTGCCATCGACTGTTGGGGCCCCCGCGGTCCTATAATAATAAGATCGGCCACGGAAAGACCCGTAACTTCCCTAGAACGGCTATGGGCCTACCTCACAGTGAAACAGTTGTTGGACGAGAAGGATTCCGCAGCAAATCCAGAAGAGTTAACCAAAAGGGCCGTTAATTTGGCACTTAAATACTCTTTTGTGACGGACGTGACGTCGCTGGTGGTGGTAAAGCCTAAGGAAACAGCTCCTGTCCTAGAGAATCGTGTCGCGGATCTTGGTAAGTGTGGTAGACTCAAAGTCCATCCACGCATTGTGGTTTTGTTAATCAGCATGAAATTTATTCTTTAAAACAATGACAATCACATTTTTCATATTTTCTAAATGTTTCTTTTTGTAGTATGTATGTATGTATGTATGTATGTATGTATGTATGTATGTATGTATGTATGTATGTATGTATGTATGTATGTATGTATGTATGTATGTATGTATGTATGTATGTCGGAGGGTGGTGGAATTGTTTTTCCACCACGGCACTTAGGCCTTATTAGGCCCCTTGTACACCCTCCTTCATTACTCGATTACTTTTCTTCAAACCATCCTATTTTACTACACGGATGGCTTGGTGGCAAAGTCTCGTACAGTTTATGCATGATAGCATAGTCTTGAGTTACAGAGATTTTCTTTGCTCTGTTCTCATTACCATTTATCGGGGACCACACGCATGCGGCAAATGTTGGGTGACCCAGGTCTCTGGTAGGCTGCCACAGCCACGTCCCCGAGCCTGCCTTAGGTCACCCATCCAAATTCCAGCCTGCGTCCGTGATGATTGCCTCGGCAGATCGAAGTCCGCCGACCAAGACACCCGGCTAGGCGGTCCCCATTTTGTAGTACGAACTATATAAAAAACACTCAACACGTCAATAATGACGGTTTGATTCTTGTTAATCAAACTAGGCAAAATAATGATAGTTTGGATCGTTAAAGGTTACTTTTTCTCAAATATAAATGCTCAGTATCCCATTTTTATATCAGTTTACGCCTGTTTGAGCTTTTTTTCTCTCTTTGCCTTGTAACACGCGTAGCCATTGGGAGGCTACCCTCCAGTAGTATATGCTCGAAGGTTCTGCTTGTTATGAAAATAAGGTTGCCACAGAGGATTTTAACTTGCTTCTATAAAATATTCAAAAAATCTAATGTGCAAGTATTTTAGGAAAAAATAACCTGTCTTTTTAATGCAGTTTTATAACATACAGGCTGTCTCCTAAACAACGCCGCAAGCCATAACCCGTTATGTATAGTCTGATTTTAAAAAACAAAAAATTTAATGAAATGGCTCTAAATACATTTACTATTTTTTTTTTTTTTGAAAGGCGATAGTCAACTTTTTTTTGAAATGGCAATATAGATTTTGTGTTATTTATTATTGTGCCACTAAATTCATGACAAATGTATTTTAACTAATCATGGGTGCCATGGAAAACAAAAAATAATACAACAAAGCAAATAAAACTAAAAAAAAATTTTCAAGTTAAATTTAAGTTCTTGGGTTTTCTTCAACGTTAAGAAGAACATTGAACTTGGTGTTTTAATTAAATTGGCATTCTTCTCACTTTGGTTTCTTGAAAGAATACTTGAATCATGTCCGTTAATTAATTAATACTCATATTTTGCACTGTTGAGCTTATTTCAATAAATAACCTACTGGAAATGACATAGAAAGAGTATGATGCGTAAAAAACTGGGACAAGAACGCAAAAATGACATTTACTTTGTTGTATTATTTTTTGTTTTCCAGGCAAACATGATTAGTCAAAATATGTTTGTTGTTAATTAAGCGACCGGGCGCTAATAATGCGGTATTGACTAATATTTTCATACTTTTTCTGTAATACGTGTTTTACAAAAGTAGACTTTATATACATCGTTGAATTCAGAATTTTTGAAAAAAAAAAAGTTGACATCGCCTTTCAAAAAAAAAATAATAAATACACCCCAATAGGCTCACTCTATATTGTATTTAGAGCCATTTCGTATAATTTTTTGTATTTTAAAATCACACTATAAATGACGGAGTTATGGCATGCGGCGTTTTTTAGGAGAGAGCCTGTATATACAGTGTGTCCGCAAATTTCATCGACAACATTTGATTACATATTCACGATGATAAATAAATACTATCTATGGAAAAAAAGTGAAATAAAAAATTTTTGTTTTTTCTATTTACAGGCCTTCAAAGTTGTCAAAAATAAAACTAATTTAATTAATAACTTAATAACACTTATACCGATCGCGTTAAGATTTGGTACATTTATTTGGTAACTATTATAGGGTATAATTTCTTAAAGCTTTAGTCAAATTTCTATACTGGATGGTAGTTTTCTCCTATTACGTCCCCCTTTTAGCGGTCAAAACTTATTTTTTCAAATGGGCAGCAACATTGAAAAGATCGTGTTTAAAAAAAATATATCTTGAGAAAATTCCTACAGAAAACAATTCTTGAGAAAAATGGCATTATTTGCAGGTCTGTATGTTTCGGTTTGCATAGCAGTGTCACAGATTTAAAACTTTGAGTTCAGTAGGCGATGAAAACAAAATATTGACTGCTGTGGCTATCAAGTAATGTCATTTTTAAGTCAAGTTGAAAAAACAACAACTATTCGGAGACGAATCTAATCCTTTTGCCATAGGAGGTTTATAAAAACACCGTTTTAAGAAAGAATGATTATAATTAGTAAATAGGAGAAAACCAACCAATTGCATCTACAAACTAAACGCCACGTAGGAGGGTTTTTACGCTCAATGACGATATAACGATTGTTCAAATAAAAACGCGGTCGAAGTTGGCTCTGACACATTGGACGTAGGGAGTAGCTTATAGTGACCAACTTAACCTCATTTCTCAACGAGCTGTATAGCAGCTGCCAGTTTCAATAACGTTAATGACTATATATATAACTTTATTTTAAAGAATAATCGTGATAACAATAACAAACAATTAAAGGAGCTGCGGAAAGTGTCCCCCTCCTTGTTATAACAATAAATTAAAGCAGCTGATGAAAGTGTCCCCCTCCTTGTTCCAAGCACTTTTCACACCTGTTCCTCAAAGAATTAAAGACATTTTCTAAGATGCTCGGGGTATTGTTAATTTCACGAATCTTGTCTATAAGTCGAGCCTGCAGATGGTTTAAATCAGGAATAGGCAGTTCAAAAATAGTGTTTTTAAGGTAAGGCCACAAAAAGAAATCACACGGCGTAATATCACATGACCTCGGTGGAAATTCATGTTCAGCATTGAGACTTATTAGTCGATTTTGGAAAACTTCCCTCAACATATTCATCGTCTCGCCTGCCGTATGTGCCCTTGCGCCATCTTGTTGAAAGTAAAAGTTTGTAATTTCGTTTTCTTCCAGCTGGTTAACAAAAGGAGCGATAATTTCTTCTCTATACCTTTGCGCAGTAAGAGTACCATTAAAAAAAATAGGTCCATAAATCCTCCTTCGATTGAGAGCACACCAAACTCCAATTTTTTGAGCGTGTAGAGGGCCCTCGACAAAAAAGTTATCTGGTTTTTCAGAAGACCACATTCTCATATTCTGTGAGTTTACGTAACCACTTAAATGAAACCAGGCTTCATCAGAAAAAAAGGTGATATTATGAAGTTCACCGTAGTTGTTTAAAAACCATTCACAAAATACAGCCCGTCGCGGAAAATCAACTTCATGAAGTTCTTGCTGACAAGTTAAACGATAGGAGAACAAACGCAAATCTTTTTTTAACACTGTGTGGCAGGTACCGACTGATACTCCCACCATTTGTGATAAAACACGTACAGAAGTTCTTGGCGCATTTTCCATTATTTGTTGGACATTTTCTTTTAATTCTTCAGTCCGCTTTTTAGGTCGGCCGCTTCCTTCTTTTCTTGTTACACTGCCCGTTTCACGAAAAACATTAACACAACGCTGAACTGCACTTTGAAAAATTTTGTACTCAACAACGCCGGGAAATTGATTTTGAAATTCTATGAAACATTCCTCAATAGAATACTTCCATATTCCATCAATCTTGCGTCCATTTCTAAAGTAGGACTCTATGATAAACACTTTTTGTTCTTGAGAAAACACCATTTTAAACGCTTTTTAAAACGAAAATATTCAAATTGATAGCGGCGATATAGCGCTTTGACAGATGACGTTTAAGTTCATTTGCTATACGCTACGCCCTACGTCCAAATTTTAAGAACCAACTTGACCACGTTTTTATTTGAACGCTCGTTAGTTCTTTTTACACACAGGGTTTTAAAAAAGTTTGGAACCCCCCCTTTAACTTTTTCTCTCTTTTCACTTCCAGAATCAAAAGTATACGGTTGCAACAAACATTTTAAACTTAACCTCTGAATGACCTTGAAGGTCATGGTCAAGGTCATATCCGATTGTAAAAATTTCCATTTTTTCCATTTCTGGAGTCAAAAATATACGGTTCCATTTAAAATTTTCAGGTTCATGATCAAGGTCACATTTGAACGTAAAATTGTCCGCTCTTACCATTTGTGGGGTCAAAAGTATACGGTTCCATTTAAAATTTTCAACTTGACCTCTAAATGACCGTCAAGGTCATGGTCAAAATCACTCAAAACTCTGCTCACTCAAAACCCTGCAACTTTTATCCTAATTATTTTTTTGTTTGAGCAGTATTTTCTGAGACAGGGGGGGGGGTTCCAAACTTTTTGAAAACCCTGTATACTAAGCAACTAAGCTTAAGATAAAGGAGCGTAGATGGCGCTCTTATTCATTTAATCCTTAAAATTGTAGTTTGAACTATTTGTATTAAGAGTAAGAGCTAGTTAAAATATTTGTTTACAGGGTGTTTCTGAAATAAGTGCGTTCCTTGAAAAGGGCAGGAAAATAAGCAACTGTGATCTAAAACATTAAGTTTTAAATTGAAAAAAAAATTCACATGAAGGTTTAAACAAATCATTTGGTCAATCAGGTTTAAATTTTGAGTTCGAAAATGCCGAAATTTGTTCAAATCTGGTTTAAAAGTAACAAAAATTAAACGAATCAATGAATTATTTACCAATAGACAATATGCTCTACAAAAATTGTTCAAAGTTGTTTCCATGTGTTAATAAACATGCAATGTTGCGAAAATTTGGTATTTTACCCTATTTTAACCGTACAGTGGTAATTTCTTTTTTATTCTTCTTTCTTCTTTCTTTGAAATATGCTTAATTTCATTATCCTGGTCTGATATATCTGTATAAGAATTTTTTAAATCGAGTGATAACCCATCAGAATCAACACCAAAAATAGTAATACGGTATTTAAAAATAAAATGAAAATTTTTGTAACATTGAGTAAAAACTAGAAGTAGAAAAAAATGAATACAAATAAACAAAGAAAAAATCCAAAAAAACCTTTTTAAAGACTGCTACCTTGACGAAAATAGTTGAATAGCTGAATTTCTAGCTCAAGTTCTTAGAATTTGAAGTTGGGTTTTGAAGGTTTGGAGTTAGGTTTTAAAGGGTTTGAGGTTAGGTTTTTATGGGTGTAGGTTTATGGCTTTAGAGTTAGGAAATGTAGTTTTCAAATATTTTACCCAGAGATTTAGAAAAGAATCAGACCATCACTTTGAGTTTATGTTTTTGGGTGCAGGTTTGAGGTTGAAAAGTATTGTAAAGCTACATGATTAATTTCGATGTTTAATCAACCTCAGATACAAAACTTTTTATTTCTTTATTTTAAAATACCAAATTGTCTTTGGTGTTGAGGTTAATGGGTTCTCACTCGATTTAAAAAATTCCTATAGAGATATACATATATCACCGCAACAGTATAATAAAATTAAGCATACTTGAAGAAGAATAGAGAAGAAATTACCACTGTACGGTTCAAATAGCTGAGAGCGTAGAATTTTTTCCCATATTTCCCACTGTGTGCCGTCTCTAGTAAAACAAAATTTATCCGTAAAAGCCTGATCTTGTGCTATTAGATGTTGAAACCATTGGTAAATTTCCACACGGGGCTGAAAATCATTGTTATTTAATGTCTGAACCCGTTGTATATGATAGGGTTTTAATAATTGTTCCCATAGAACATGCCACACGGTATTGTTGTTATTATAATGCAACACACATGTGCACAAGATGCACAGGGCCAGCTTACATTTATGGCTAATTTTCTTAATTAATTTTCTCTATAACAGAAGCATTCAGACCATCAGTTGTGTAATAAAAATTGCTTAATTTTGCTCAATTTCGTGCCCTCTATCACCCTTCTCAAGAAACCCACTTGATTCAGAAACACTATACTAATATAATACAAATTTTAGGTTACAGAGATATGGGCTATATTACTCCACAATCAGCAGATCTCTCTTGTCGTTTCTTAAAAAGTAAGTTTTTACAAAATAAATAAATAAACTAAATTCTCTCACAGACATGTACAGGGTTAGGCAGAATGAAATATCTATTTTCATAGTTTGTTTCATAACAGATAGACTCAAATTTAAATCAAATTTCCATACTTTCTCGATAAATAAATATAAAAATGATTCATGGTTTTTTTCAAATACAAGATATCTTTCTTCTTGGAACTGCCATAAGGAGTTATACTCCAGTCGAGTTAGATCATAAAGATCTGAAAAATCTAAAAAAAGTATTAGTAGACATTTTATTGCACTTGAGAATATCAAAAAATTAACTCGAAAAAGTGACGCTAAGTTGCAAACTTACGTGTTTTTTCAATATTTTTACTGTCCATGAAAATCTAGACGACATATCGGAAAATTAATTGTTTTATGTTGAAAGCAATGAAATTACCTACAATTTAAGGTACCTGAAGTCACTTTTCACCCATTTGTTAACTGAAAAATAAATATCGAACCCGGAAAAATCAGTTTCCGAAAATTGCATATTATTATCGTAAAAAGTGATGAATGGATGATGAATTTTATGGAAGACGGTCAATCCAAAGACCAACATGTATGCCAAAGGCCGATTCGATTTACCATGAAATTGTTGCTCCAGCTATTTGTTAATTGTAGTTAATTTTAGAAGTTAATATGGTAGATATAGGTTCTAATTGATCCATAGAAACGTATCGTAAAGGAAAAATTTCAAAGAGATACCCTTTACATCAATAAAGTAGGACGTGCAAAACAGCGTTATAAACAAATTGTACCAGGGTCAGGCAACGGCCGCTCGGGAATTCGCTCTTTTTGCATTAAACAGAGCTTATTTGTACGATAATTAAAAAAAGAGAGAATCATCTACACCTCTTTGTTCTCAAGATAACTTCTTTTTATGTAATGTTAATGTTTTTTAACTATTGGACGTATCGGACCGGGATTTTAGAGACAATTAAAGAACGGGTTAAACATTTATTTTCAAAATGTTTTACATTGATAGTTCAAGTAATTAACGCGTTAGCACAAGTAAAAGTTAACGTTAATGAACGATCCGCACTCGTGTGAACTCCGCCCTCAACATTTCATATTCGGTTCGGTCTCTATCTCTCGAACTGCTCGATCAATTTTGATGATTTTTTTTTAATTTCTGGTATCTCGTCGAGACTTCATAAAATGTATACATTGTCGGTATTAATACGTTGCAAATTAAACATTAAATATTTCTAAATTAAAAATATCTATATAAATTCTACTTCCGATTGCTATAAATATTATTTTTTCTCATATTTCATTTTTTTTGCTTTATTGAAGAATATGTATCTTTAAAAAAATTCGAGGGGATAAGGACGGTAAAAAAATACAAAGCAATAATGATTTTTATTTATAAAAATAAGAAATTTTATTCTTATTATAAACAATTTAATTCGACTGGAGTATTAGTAGTAATAAATTTTCGAAATATTCAGTAGTTCAAATTTATTCTTGGATTGGATACTTATCATTAAGGAGAAAAGTATGCATTCAGTTTCCAATTTATTTACGGTGCATCTCTCGTTAACGATTTTGTTACTTCAATTTTTCATTTATATTATTATTAAGCTTTAATCAAAATCTTTATAATTATTTTCTTGTTTTTTTTTTTTTTCTAGAAACAAGAAAAATGAAGAAAAAATGCAAAAAATATGCTAGTGGTAAGTAAAATTGTGATTATTTTTTAAATTGTTTCAGTAATCTAATCAATATCCTTAAGTTCACTCTTTTATGTAATGAAGGGTATCCCAAAATCCACGCAAGATTATCGATTCATAAAGAATACAGTATAGGGTTATGTATGGAATAGCATATTGGGTATATGGCCTCCATGGATTTGCTGGCACATACACATTCTTTTGTCGAAATTTTCCAATACCATTTTGCATAACTGCAGCTGAATTTCATTGATACAGCGTTCAATTTCCTTGAAGGCGTAGGTTGTCGTAGACTTGTTGGCGTAAACCTTAGATTTAAAAAACACCAAAGAAAAAAGTCCAGCGGTGTTAAATCGCATTATCTGTGAGGGCAATTCTGATCACCAAAATGGGAAATTACACAATCAGGAAATGAATTGTTGCTCAGGCTGTATGACCTGTGGCACCGTCTTGTTAAAACCACACGTCGTCTACATCCATATCTTGCAATTTAGGTATAAAAGACTGGATTATCATGTCGCGATAGCGAGCACCATTAACTGTTATTGCTTGACAAGCTGCATTTTCCAAGAAGAATGGTCCGGTTATGCATCCATTCCAATATCATCACACATGGATGCACTTGCGACAATTTTGTCGATTAATGAAGCCATCGAGATGAAAATGAGCCTCATCGCTGAACATGATTTTCTTTGAACAATCAGAACCCACTCGTTCCATAATCCATTAATCCTTCCACTTTTCAATTAATATCTTCACAGTTGATGAAGTTAAATCACTATTCCGACAATATTTTGTACGAAAATTACGAACTGTAGCTGCCAAACCTGCATTATTTTTAAAATTTTGCTCAACAATGAAAACGCGTTTTTTCGTGTAGTGCTCCATTTTTGAATAACCCGGAGTTGTCAGCTGTCATGTTTTTTTTTTTGTTGGCAACACTTTACCGGATAAATGGTGCAAAATTTAAAACTTGCGTGAATTTTGGGACGCACATTTTTTTTGTCACATTAGGAATACAATAAAAATAATAGACCAACCTTATCTTTAATTTCAATTTTTGACATTTCTATTTCCTTTTAACAACTCCTCTCTGTGTTTTCAGGGATACAAGCAGCTAGTGATATTCTTGACGATGACAATGAACCGTCAGAATTTGTTGTTGAACATGAAGGTTAGTAATGATTTCACTAGCTCACATCAAAGTTTTTAATTTTGTATATAAAATTACAATAAAAAGTAGTTGTATTATTAACACAAAATGAAGTATGAAAATATTAATCCTAACTGTTGTAATTTTTAATATAATATTGAAAAGCTTATTAAAAAGTGGTACCAAAGGAAAGTGCGGCAAAAAATCAAATACTTGGTTTCTATCACTGGTTCATATACATTCTGTCAAAAAAATATCCGGAATTTGTCAATAAAACAGTATATTCAATTAATCATCAAAATTTATTTTGTCTCCTTCAAAATAATCTCCATTTGAACCAATACACTTGTACCAACGAACGACCCCGTCGTCAAAGCACTTTTTAAACTCATATTCCGGACTTTACCTTCTTCAGTGATTTTTGTTTTATGTCTCTACCGACTCGAAATGTGTTCCACGAAATGATAATTTGAGTTTGTGAAACAGGAAAAGTCAGCAGCGGCGTTACCTGGTGTATACAGTGGCTGCTCGATGACGACATCTGTTGAGTTTTTTGTCAAAAATTTATTTACAATGGTGCATTATCATAGTGCAAAATCCAGGAATTGTCCTTTCATCAATCTGGTCTTTTGATCTTTTGCGGCGAACACTCTCTCTCGAACGCCTCATAAGCCCAGATAATATTCTTTGTTGACTGTTTCTCCATACAGAAGAAATTCTCTGTATAGTCAAAGAAAACAATCAACATGACTTTAATTTTTGATCGACATTGACAAGTTTTATTGGTGTCTGCGCATTAGAAAAGCGCCATTTCCAAGCTTGTTGGCTTGTTTGCATGTTAAACTAGTAAATGCATGTCTCGTCGCCCGTAATGATCCGTTGCATGAATTTAGAGTCCAAATTAGATCGTTCAAGCATGTCATCAGCAACATGTTTACGATGGTCTCGTTGAAGAAACTTCAACTCTTTTGCAATCAGCTGTGCTGCGACGCGTTTCATACCCAAAACATTAACTAATAACTAATTCGTAAAATATGTTTAGTTCGCCAACTCTCTCGAACAATAATAACGGTTTGCAAGTACCATTTCCTTCAGTTTATTGATGTTTCCTTCAACTGAAGACGTTGAAAGACAACACAACGTGGCAAATCATCAACCACTTCTCGACCATGTTTGAATGCTTTGTATCATTCGTATGCTTGTGTTTTCAATAAATCTGAATTACCGTACGTCTTTCCCAACATTTTCAATGACTCAGCATGAGAAATTCTGTTGGTAACTCAAAATTTTAGGCAAACTGTTTGTTCAATAACATCCATAGTAAAAATCCACTTTAGGTGGACTAACAAAATTAACAGCTGTAAACAAGAGTACAGTGCTATCAATGTTCTATCAAAAAAGAAATTTAAATTAACTTTTTTGGCAGGATGTATATGAATTGATATCAAAATATACAGAGTGATCATAAAAGTTTGCAAATTTTCTTTTTCTTCCGTGGCATATGGTACATTCCAAAAATAAATTACTTCCAGCAAACTGTTCAAAAACTAATGCGAGCTTTAGCTGAATTCATACATCACCCTGTATATCCACAAGTTCTGACGCAGGACATTTTATATGGTCATTTCATACTGCCCCAGGTTAACCCACTCTACTATTACAGTATGTGCAGTTCCTCACGAAACACCCTGTATTTGAAAAGTAAATAATTTTGAAAAAACAAACATTCCTTTATGGAGTAGATATAACAAATTTTTTAGGCACCATAAAATATTACCTTGCACAGTATATAAATAATAGATGCCAAATATTTTACTTTCGCTCGTTAGATAAGGAAGAAAATTCTTTGTCAAAAGTTTAAAGAAACCTTGTAGAGGAATCAAAATATATTAATACGAAGAAGACAACAGGTAGAATTTTAATATTGTTTTGTGAAATTTTATTTAGATTTTTTTTATTTACAAGGTTACGTAGCTTGGCACCTCTCTGAAGTAAATTTATAACACAGAAATCTTTTTTACACCAACTTCAAATTTTACTGAATTCTGTGTTTAGTTTACCAATTGTCTACTATCATATTTCTTTCTTTTACGAGTATAAAACATAGTCGTTTTTCCCCGTTGTGTAATTGAATTTACTTTGTTGAACGGTGTATCAAATAAATAAAACATGTTTCAGGTGTGGAATCTGATTCTGTAAAGAAACCTGCAGAAGAGTTTACGGCTGATCATCCGTTCTTAGTCTTCTTGCAGGTGGAGATCGACGATGCCGTTTTGATACTTTTCCGGGGCTGCGTTTATAAACCCAGTTATTAATTATGACAAGCTTGCACTATGTATTTTTTCTAACGGGACATACCGGCTTACTCGAGTAAGATTCACTTTATAAGACCTGTCACTTGACTGTTTAGAGATCTCTCACTTGATCAGGTTATCGACTTGCTTGTGTGGGTTGGTGTGCCGATTAAAAAAATGGCTTAAATTTTACAATAATTAGAATTATGTATATGACGCTTTTTTAAGAAAATATATACTAGTCAGTTATAAACTACATATATTTTATATAATATTTTATGTTTACAAGTTTTAAATGTTGTTTAATGTGTGTAAAACTATATATTTTATTAAATCACTAATGCTTTGATATGTAATTTTTTTCGACATTGCCGAATTTATATTCTAGAATTTCATCTTATAGCGGAAAGTTACAGACAAGTAAGTGTGTTCTTAAAGCGACATAACCATTTCAAAACAACTTTGCCAGAAAGTGCTTCACTTACAGCCGAGTGCTTACGCCGCCACCTGTGTGTGTGAGCTTTAAACCACCCTTTTCTTAAGGTATGTATACTATTTTATTCACAATCATTGAGCTTTAATATACTTATATCTTTTTGTCACTACAATTTTTTATACAGGGTGTCAGGTGCATAATCTCGGGAGTGTATAGGGGAGGTCAAAATAACACTAGTTTATCATAAAAAAAATTTTAAAGTGCCCCTTTACAGAGACACAGAGCCTGAAATGGGTACCTAGCGATTTACATTTTCGTCTATAACTTTTGAATCGACATGTATAATTTAATGAAATTTTAATATTTTACGTAGGCCATAGTCTCATAAAACCATACTAGAGTATGGGAAGTCAGGGAAGTGAGGAACGGACTTGCCACCATACTCGCAGAGCAAAAATTTTGACAGTTGTCATTTTATAGAGCTGAAAACTAAATTTTTAAATACTTTGGTCATTCCTATTTGAAAAAGGTAAGATCCATTTCTTATTTGTGGAAGGGCGCAATGGGCGGTGAGTATTAGACGCCTTCATTATAGCCATCTTTTTCTATTGCACAGATTTCTATGACTTACTTTATCGCTCTCACGTAATGGCCAATGAACCATGGGGACTTTCTGACCCTGTAGTCGTATTTTAGAGGCGGCTATAACGGCGGGAGAGTTAAACCTCTCGGTACAGGTATCGTAGGTGAAGCTAGTTGTCGATATGGCTCAAACCAATCTTTAGCACTTCCTCGTAGCTGAGCTAACACGTCACGATCCTCGTCTTTCTTGGTCTTCCTTGGCTTGAAGGAACCTCTGAGTCTGGTAAGATCGGGCTTATCCTGGATAGCATGTCTTCCAGTCGTTCCGGAGAAATATGTCGCGCACTTTCGTCGTTGGGTTTCGACATTTTCTCCACTGAAATAAAGTAGAAGTGATTGTAATGCCAGGGCAAGTAAGAAACTTTAAGTTTTGTTGAGGGTGGAAAATGATTTATAAAAATTTTTGAAAATTATATGTTTGGCACCAGTAAATTTTTAGATGAATCTACAAAATTATAAAAAAATATATATAAATATAAAATAAATTATTTTCACTAATACAAACTAAAAATATTTTTTTTGAAAAAATATTTTTCGACGAAAATAAGTTGACTGGGTTCCTAAGAAAAAATAAATTTTTTGTAAAAAAAAAAATTTAATTGATTTTTGAGAAAAAATATTTTTGGTTTCAAAAAAAATATTTTATAAAAATTTATTATTGTTTAAGAAAAATAATTTTCTTGAAAAAAAAATTATTTTGATTTCAAAAAAAATTATTTTTGTAGTTACTAAAAAGTTTTTTATAGAAAAAAACAATTTTTTGTGTAGAAATATTAAGAAATCTACTTACAGAGTATTAGGTACTTTTTCAATATAAACAAAATGAAAAAATAAGTTATTAACAATTTATAATATAAATACTATATTACTATACTATTTATATAAAATTAATAGTAATTTTGAATTATTCTTTATTAGAAAATTCACAAAAAGAACAAATACTAAATAACCAAAGACTAGAAAAAAGAGTACCTTGTCCTTGTATGTATAATGAAATGAACTTTTACTATTGTTTCTAAAAAATTAATAAGCGATTATTAAAAATTCCCGGATTTTACTAACCAACTTTTATGATATCCTCGATATAATACGTTTCACGGTTTTTCCAATTACAAAAACTATTGTCGTTTAAACAATAGTGGACCTTGACACACTTTGTTTTTAACTTTGAAGCACAAACTGATACTCAATAACTATTGTTAATAAACGCAGATAGACGTTGACAGATTAACAATAAACTTTTGTCGATGTAACTTGTAACTGTAGAACTAATGACGAGCAATCATAAACAAATTAACTTTTTGAGCTTCGGAGATAAACTGATCTTTTGAATGTCGACGAATAACTGATTTTGCCCCTAAAAAATCATTAATTTTATATGTTAATTTTAGGTCTTTAAGGGTCAATTTCGAAAAAATATTACGCAGTTAGCAATTACGCAGTAAGCTGATGACAGATTTTTTATTATTGCATCATCTTTTCCCGAAATTAAGAAAAGTAAAGCGATTTTTCAGAATAAGCCAAATATGTACTCGATTCTGATTGGTCCGCGACTAGATATAAATATAAAAGTTGTATAAAAACGGACGACGCGATTTCGCCCTGTTCATTTCATCCATAGAAAATATAATACTTATTTTCTATGATTTCATCGTAGCCCTTGAGTCTACAACAATATGTAGTTTTTTTTAGCAAAAATGATCCTTAAGGACCTAAAATTATCATATAAAGGGATGAAATTTTAGGGGTAAAATCAGTTTTTCATCAGCATTCAACGAGTTAGTTCATTTCCGAAATACGGTGTTCAACAAAAAGTTAGTTTGTTCGTGATCGCTCACCATTTAGTTTACAATTATAAGTAATTAGCAACAAAAGTTTATTGTTAATGCAACGTTTTTCTCCGTTAATAACAATAACCCCCGTCAGAAGTTTGTGCTTCAATATAATAGTAACAAAGTGCGCCGAGGCCCACTTTTGTTTAAACAAAGTTAGTTTTTTCGTGACGGGAAAAACCGTGAACAGATTATACCGAGGATCACACAAAAAGTGGTAAGTAAAACTAGCGATTTTTTTAAAAACAATAGTAGAAGTTCATTTCAGTATACAAGGTACCTACTCTATTTTCTACAGTCTTTGGTTGTTTATGAATTTGATCTTTTGTGGATTTTCTAGTGTAGAATAATCCAGAATTATATTCTTTTCTATTTTTGTTAACAAAGTTAACCATAAGTATTGTTAATAACTTTTTCATATTATTGAAAAAATAACTACATTTATTTCTCGTAATATATTTTTTAATATTTTTATACAAAAAACTGTTTTTCTAGAAAAAACCTTTAAACAACTTTTTACAAAAATAATTTTTTTGAAATCAAATTTATTTTTTTCTAAAAAACCTTTTTTAACAATTTTTCAAAAATTATTTTTTTTGAAACAGGAAAATTATTTTTTCAAAATAACTAAATACATATTTTAAAAAATATTTGTTTTTGAAGTCAAAATTATTTTTTCTCAAAAATCTGACAATTTTTTGAAATTTTTATTTACAGAAAATTTAAATTCTCTTAGGAACCCAGTCAACTCATTTTTATCGAAAAATATTTTTTCAGAAATTATTTTTCTTAGTCTACATTTTCGTTAGTAAAAGAATTTATTTTTAATAATCTTTTGCATACATCCCTGACCAAGATCAAAGAGTAATCCGGTTAGGAAAATATTAAGTTTGTGGATTCATCTCAAAATTTACTGGCGCCTGACATATTTTCAAAATTATTTTACGAATTATTTTCCACCCTTAACTAAATTCTAAGTTTCTCTCTTGCTCTGGCATTACTATCAATTCTTCGACTTTATCTCAGTGGAGATAGAACGCATCATCTGCGAATTTCACGACCCGCTCTAACTGTATCAACGTTTGTGTTTAAGGTCACACGAATTCTAAAGCACCAACACCGTACGTTGACATGACGTCGCAACGTGGAGCTTAAATTATATACGAGCACAATAATTGTTTTACACAATACGTGCGTTGACAATATGAGTAAATAAATAAGAGGATTTTATTGGATAGGTCGGACGGAGCATGTATTCACTGAAGCCATCTCGCCTTGGTGCAGCAAAACATTGTCCTTTATAGTAATTGTTAAACAGAAATCTGCAACCACAGATCAGTTCGAATCTGTAAGCATTTTTTTCGCGACTGAATATTGGTGAATATCTGACTTTGTAGTTACTATTTCTACCTATCTTGATCTTAGTCATATTATGGTAGTTTAAATCTCTTCATTCTCTCACACTATACATTAGTACATACGACTTCACTCGCGAAAAAAGCCATGTATTTCCAATCATAGTAATCTGTATTTCCAATCTTTCAGTCAACAGAAAGAGTATGTTTGAGGTTATAGTTTAGGTTCAGGTAGGTTGTCGCGTTTTGTGTATTAATAAATTTGTTTTGTTTTAGATTAATGTAATAAGCAATTTGTTGAATCAATCGTCTAAATATGCCATTTTCCTCAAGAATGGCTTTCTGTAGGCGATTTTCTCAAGAGACAATCTTTTTTTTTAAATAAAACGACCTTTTCAATGTTGCCGCCCGCTTTAAAAAAATACGACCACTGTAAAAGTTTTGACCGCTAAAAGGGAGAGGTAACCAGAGAAAACTATCACCCAGTATATCGATTTGGCTAAAGCTTTAAGAAATAATATGCAATAATGGTCCAAATAACGCGATAGGTAAAAGGGTTATGAAGTTATTAATTAATAAATTAGTTTTATTTTTGACAACTTTGAAGGCTTGTAACTCAAAAACCAAAAATTTTTTATTTAACTTGTTTAACGTTGTCGGTGAAATTTGGGGACACCCTGTATAGCGAGAGCAATAATAATGTTACAGACCATAGTCCAGCGGGCAGTCAAGTCGATATTAATTCAGATCAGACAATACTAAATTACAGAAAATTAGCACTTACGATTTGTAATTATGCAATATTTTTTGCATATTATTATAATTATAATTTCTTAATGAATTTTCCATATCACCGCCAATGGCCAATTACATATAGATGTGCGCTCTGAATAACGAAATAAACATTGGATTGACAATCGATAAAGCAATAAAACTTGGATTATTATTAAAACACACTGGTGCATGCATGGTGTTTTAAATCTGAGTATTAAGTTACAGTTACAAATGTTACTGAATATGAAATACAATTTGGCCGAAATCTTATGCTAATTTATAAAATATAATCGGGTCATAACATTTCCTGATACATAAATCCCGATTTTCAATTATTTTGTAGGTATGTATTATTTATTTATATAGTCAATAAAACATTTATTACCTACCATTCATTGAAATTTTCATACAAGTTAATCCTATTTTTGTTTTAGATAAGATCAGATAGATAAACATTGACGTCACAAACAAAATACCTAAGTAATTATAAAAACAATTCGTAGAACTATTCAAATAATAGATTTGTTTTGGTTCTATCAGCGGACAGTTCTATAGAACAGTTCAGAATAGTTACCCAACTGTAGTGTAAGTGTCTTGGCTTAGATGTTCTTATGAATGAAATGGTCAACTAATTTGAACCGTACCCCGTACCTTTCAACTCGTATAAACATAAACTCTTGGGGGTAAGCAACAACAACAACAATAATATGATAATAGTCCAATAGATGCAGAATTAAAGAAGTTAATTATAGAAAGTTACTTTCTAAGAATATTGCGATTTTTTAAATTAGTTACAAATTGCTTACACGTCCCAAGTCCAAACGGTAAATTTAAATCAATAGCAGAATAACGATACACACTGCTCCATAACATTCTATTACAATTGTGTACCTGTTCCTGTTAGCTTGTTCTAAGCTGTATTCCGTTGTGGGTAGGGGGTAGGGTTACCAGATCTATTTAAAAAAAACGGAATCACGAAATATGGGAAATGTTTTCGAAGAAATCACGATTTTTTCGCAACAAACAAAACCCGGAGAAATGATATGTTAACCCGGAGCCCGAAGATGTACCATCAAACCCCGAAGACTCCGGCTCAAACCCGGAGTTCCATAGAAAATATAGGTACGTTAGTATTATATATATTTTCTATGCCGGAGATCTGGCAACCCTAGCCTGTGGGTTGTGATCTTATTTAACATAACATAACCTAAAAATTTTGCAAGAAAATGGGACAATTTTTTTGTTCTAGTGTTTGATTTATGTAACTTTATTAATGTAAACAAATGTATGTTAAAACTTATAAATACGTGTAATTAAAAATAAATTTTTTTTGTAGGTACAATAAACTAGTGACATGGCTGAGAGAAATCTTAATTTAGTTTTCACTAGCGCAATAGACAGTTTTTCAAAGCACCTCCACAAAGAGTTGAAGAAACAAGATAGCAATGATTTATTTTCACCTATCAACATCCATGCATTTCTGACTCTTCTTTCTCAGGATCCTTGGTTTTACAGTAAAGATAGTTTCAATAGATTCTTGTACCTCGATGTTAACACAGCATCTACACTTTACAAAAATATTTTCGATGTTTTTAACAGTATTAATAATCTTCTGGTTGCTAACAATTCTTTGTTGAAACCAAGCCAAGTTCCAGAAGCTTTCAGGAATCGTCTCAGGGATAACTTTGCTAGTGAAGTAAACCCTTTGGATTTCACTAAACTAGAAGATGCTACGGCAGCAATAAACACATGGGTCCGTGATAGGACTCTCCAGAAAATTACACCGTTTAGTGGTTTAAGGGAGGACGTGAATTTTACATTTTTAAATGCTACACGCTTTAAAAGTGACTGGACGGAACCATTCTCCATGGATGAGACAGTTCCCGCAACTTTTTATTTGAACGAGCAAGATACGGTGCCAGTTCAAATGATGAGAAAAAAAGGTGAATTTTATTTTGAGCATCATTTAGGTCTCTCAGCTAAAATTTTAAAATTACCGTTTGCCGGCAACAAAGTAAACCTTGTAGTTGTTTTACCAAGAAAAGAAATAAATATTAATGAATTTGTTCAATTTTCAACAAATTTTTTAAATTTATCGCATCTTTCAAAGAACATGACTAAACAGGAGGTAGATGTCTCCCTTCCAAAATTTAAAATGGAAGAAACTGTGGAGCTGGCACAATACTTAAAGAAGGTAAGATAAGCACATACTGTTGTACTGTACGATTCAAATTTATAAGATGCACATTTAATTTCTAAATGATTGCACAATTAACAAAAAAATTCCCTAAACAATGGTTACTCTGGTACAAAATTTTATTGCGAATAATTTTATTTCTGAAACAACTATATGAGGCAATTGCTTATACAGCTATGAAAAATGTTTGTTATATTTGTTATACTGGTTGAGTCATAACTAACGATAAACAATTTGACTTAAGCTTTTTCTGTTCAAAATGGAGTAATGCTGTAGCTTGCGCGCAAAACTTAAAAAGTCCACTGTAACTGATTTGCGAGAAATTATAAAATAATTTATATTAAACAGAAAAAATTCTATAGAAATGATACATTTTCCACAGTAAGCATATGGAATGAAATCAATTTATCACCAAAATATTATCAACATTATAATCTTGTTTTGGGTTTTATCTTAAAAAAAAATGATTTACACGTGAACTTTTGATAAGAAAGTCTGGACTTGTTAATTTTTGTGTGCAAGCTATAGAATTAGTCAAACATATATCAGTCTCAAAATACTTCCATAAAAAGGCACAGGCCCTTAAATAAAATTTGATTTATGAAACCTCTGTCACTTTTTTGGTTATTCCAATAAAACTTGGTATATAATTGTATGGCAATTTTTAATACAAAATGATTTTTGCTTTATTTTATTTTTTTTCAAATTTTTTGCGTGATCCAAAAAAACAAATAGCAGCGTTCGACTTTTTAAAAATTCTTATGATGCATACTCTTTGCCTGATACTGATACATGTTAAATATTTAAGGGGACATAAATTAATATTAGTTTTTATTTCATTTTTCGATATTTTATATAAGATGGGGTTGGAAGAAGTGTTCAACGCCAACCTCAGTGGTGTGATTAATGATGAGGAACTCACTTGCGATGAAATCAAACAGAAAGCGTATTTAGAAATAAACGAAAAAGGTTCGGAAGCTTCCTCAGGTGAATAAACATTTGTCTTAACGTTAAAGTATTAATTAAAAAATAATCAAATTAATTTTAGCAACTGTGTCAACTTTAATCAAAGCCCAGGAAGAGAAGGTAATATTAAGTCATATCAGCAAGTGACGACGTAAAATAATTTTTAATACATTTTCAGTTGCCTCCCAAAGATGGGTTACTAATCTACGAAGCAAATATATCATCGGAAATTACCAACCGTTTTGCCAAGACTAAGGTGGTGTGGAGGGTGAAGAATACCAACAAGACGGCTGCTGATGCTGACTTTAAAGTCATCTTAACCGATACGGCATTCATCACGAAATTCATCATGGAAATTGAAGGCAAAAGTTATAAATCGTACATAAAAGAAAAGGAGGAGGCAAAGAATATTTATAATGAAGTAAGTATACGTTTATTTATTTATTTATTTATTTATTTATTTATTTATTTATTTATTTATTTATTTATTTAAGAAGTAGGAAACCCAACAGGATTAAAAATCCCAATAACAGGGTAACACTAAACAAGTAACAAAAAACAAGGTGATGAAGTACAATATAAACATAATCTAACTAATGTGAAATACAAAAAAAGAAAAAAATTACTTATAAGAAATTATACACTTCCTCACAGAGGTTTTATATCTATTCAAAGAATTATTAAATATATCAACTAGTTGACATAGATTGCTATTAAAATATCTTGGAATTCTATGAAACGGTGAATTTAAATTATAATTACTATGCGAGAGTTGAACATAGAAAACCGAGAACTGACGGTTAGCAATGTTAGCATACACCGGGGCTAAAAAATTTAACAGAGACAAAATATCTGTATCAAAATATCCATGAACAATTTTATATAACAAAACACAATCAAAAAATTGTCTAAGCTCTTCTAAACTAAGCAATTTATGTACATTAAGAGAGTGTAACAATTCGCGATTAAATCTATAATTAACATTATTAATAAATTTGATTAGAACAAGCTCAATTCTATTTATATATTTAAAATATAACGGAGACCAAATTACCATATTATATTCTAAGTGAGACCTAACCAAAGAAAAATAAAGACAGAACATACTTTTAATATTTTTAAAATCCTTGGAAAGTCTCAAAATGAAACCCAACATTCGAAACGCACGTCTGACTATACAGGGTGTTAAAAAAAGAGTGTAAAATATTTAAGGAGGTAATAGTATGAACCAAAATAAGCAGAAAAGTCTCAATAAACAATGTTTTATGTTTTTTAGCCCCTTTTTTATATTTCAAAAACGTTGTGTATTTTCTTATAATAGTTGGTTGATGTTTAGTGATTTGACATATTTGACAGTTGTTCTCAGTGCACAAGTTTTCTTTCGCTATGGCTGGTTACTGTAACGCAGAATTAACAGACATGCATTTCATGTATGGTCGTGCTAATGGGAACGCCACCGAAGCGTGACGTCTTTATATTGACGCTTATCCAAATCCCTAAATTCCTTCACAACGCATATTTGGAAGAATTCACCAAAGATTGTGAGATACCGGTTCCTTGAGCAAACAGTGCCATTTATCGGAAGACCAAGGTCGGTATCCACTCCTAGAGCAGAAGAAGAAATTCCAGCACTGGTAGAGCAGAATCCAGGTACGGGTGTGCGGAGAATATCAGCCGAGGTAGGAATTAGTGGTCCTCTTGTTTGGAGAATCCTTCACGAGCAACTGCTTTATCCATACCATGTGCAACGAGTACAGGCCTTAAATCCAATAAATGAT